AGCGGAATTCGGCGCGGACGCCGCCCCGCCCCGCCCCGCCCCGCGCCGCGCCACGTTGGGCCGCCCCTTCCTGCTGGCGGCCCCTGTGGCGTAGGCAACCCCTCCGACACGCCTCTGGGCGTGCGACGACGTTCCAACCGGTGGGAGGCGTTCATCGGATCGCACTCGGGAAGGTCATTGCCTCGCGTTGTACTACGCAAACATCTATTACATGCGCACAGATTCTCCTTTGGTAGTAACAGAAGAAAAACATTAAATAAAAACCTATTTATTTGTATGTTTCATATGATGTACTTTCATTGTGAGTGAAGTATAAGCTGATTAACATTACTTACAAATTGATAAGGTGGTCACAAACGACAGATTTTAAAAAATCAACTCTTTTTGATACAATTATCTATAAATTCTAGAGATGTAATTTCCGTTAAATGTTCACAATAATGGTTTACGATCATCCATTACAGAGAACATTGATTAAGTGTACAACGAAGTCATTTTGCAAAGTCGCATCCAAGGATTAGCAATTTAGAATTGTTCAAAAAAATATTTTCATCAAAAAAATTATTAACTCCTAATTAATCACTCTATTTGTAACGAAATAGCCGCTTGAATGTGTAAATCAAACTTCAACGCACCGTCGCAGTCTGCTTCCTTTTAAGCCTATTGATATATATTATTTTGTTTTCCTATTGAATGATAGTCTTGTCAATTAGGAAGTGCTACAATTTTGGTTTTCACCAACAACTCCAAAAGTACGTAGTTGTAAAGCAGGTCTGTCACAAATTGAATGCCAACAGCGAATTTACTTGCATCCTACAACTCCTAACTTCTCACTAGAAATCGAGGTTCAATGTCTCGCGAGCGAAGTTCGACGCCTTGCGCGATTATCAAGTGAGGATTACGTCCCACAAGATTGTTATTGCGAAAAAACTGCCCCTGGGGTAGCCCAATCTCTTTCTTAGAGAGTTAGATGGGTCTTAGAGGAAATTTCAGTTATATGATTTACTACGTATTATGAATAACGTAATTTATAAAAGATGCAATAATGTTTTGAAAACTTAATTTCCGGGCAATTGTGCTCGCTGAATACCACAAAACTGCAATACTGCTTTTGAAATATGTAACGTGACTAATGCGTCATTAATACCTCATACAGGTGTCAATAAATTCGACCATAGAGTGAGTGCAGTTTAAAAATGTTCACATTTTTTCTCAACGAATCAGTGTCTTGGAAAATATTAATGTTTTAAGGTAAAAATAATATTATTTTACTATCTAAAACAGTCCACAAAATTACTATTTTGCTGATTAGATCCACTGGTGACTAAATTGCTTTCAGTAATTCAATAAAAAGAATTATTATAATCGTAATCAGATAATCGATATTTATTGACTTTCCAAAATTTAATGTCAATTTTGACTGTAGTCATAAAACTCAGATGACTTGACACATGACTATTTTACATTTAATTTTATATTGCTACATATCGTTTTTATTCACATGTTAAAGCATCATTGTTTTGCTTAAAGCAACATGATCTCTTATTCCAAACTAACGTAATACCAGTAATTTGTGTAATTAAATTAAGGCAATATACTAATTAGTTTACTTTTTATTATTATTATTCGAATAATGTTATTGTTACGAATTTAACTATAAAACTGAAAATTAGTAACGGCAATAAAATGTTATTAGTGTTTGAAGAAGGTTATGCAGAGCCTGGTTAGAATGCTTTATCATACACATAAATAATGTTCTTTCTAATACTATCATGAATGAGATAAAATGGAAATTATTCATAAATGTAGGGTTTATAATCCGTTACTGGGGTATTTCTTATTTGTACATAAAATGGATATTAAACAATAATTAGTATGATCTCTATTCACAATTGTACATGTTTATAATACATTAATAAAGATATAAACATTTCATTTGATAAATTCGAGAGACTTCCATTCAACACGATAGAATGAGCAAAATATACGCATAATTACACATCACATAATGAGTAATAATAATGTGTAAATTACATACTTCACGTCCCTAATAAAGATAGTAGTGAATGAATCAGCCATACACTTAGCAAATAACTTACGTCTAGACGTGCGGATAAAAACTAGTCATTTTACTTCAGTTACGTCTGGGGCCAATCACAGGCAGCTGTCATGTATTTAAGACCAAGCAACCGCGCCGGCCTCTATCAAGGTTACACATCGATGTAAACCGTGGAATGCGGCTCCGAACCTGCTGTCATCACTTCGACGCCAGACGGCTGCCTAACCGCCGCTCCGCCGGCGGGGCGGGAGCGTTTTGCAGAGCAGGTCAACGCACGCGCATTCGCGGCCAGACGGCCCGCACGCGGTCGAACGCGGCGTTACGAGGCCGTTCCCGCAAGAGGCGGCGTTTCGGAGAAGGTCGGACACCGCAAGAAAGCTCCTGTTTTCCCTCTTCATGTTGGCCCTGGGCCGCGCTCGGACAAAGCATCCGTGGACTCGCACTACATTCGGTTCAGGCCAGCGGACGATTGTGTTGGCAGGCTCCAAACCAGTAAATGAGCATCGCTGAAAACCAATTGTTCGCGAATTGTGCTCTTCCGCCATCCAGATGAGCAGAATGCTTTCTGATGCCTGAAGTGTCGGTTCATTGAGTGTGTTTGGAGGATAGGAATAGATTGAATGAGTAGGTTTTTTTGTTTCCGATATCACTAAAAAGAAAATCGTAAAAAATTGTATACATCGGATGTAATAATCGAGAATTAAAATGAAAGATAAAGACATAAAGAGGAGGGCGTGTAAGTCGAAAGTAAAAGGGTAGGTCACAAACACAATATGAGAGATCCCAAGTTGTTAACTTTCAACACGCATTCAATAGATCAACATTTAGGCAAAAATGCAAATAATATATCTTTGTATACAAATTTTGAAGTTCCTTATTCTGAATTTGTAGCAAGATAAATATTTTCAGTGCAACTATTCATTTGCCCAAATGAAAAAATAATAAGAATAGCCGGTATGTTTTTTCAAGCCCAGTGGGATTTTTCTCGATTGGTGTTTGAACCAGAAAATTCATGATGTGATGATGACTACTATTTCCTATGCCACATGCCTTAGTCATGTCAAGAGTCATATTATTTCGGAATAATATAGCTTCATATTATTTAGGTATTAATGAAGAGACAAATCTCTCCATTGAGTGTCCTTGCAAGAAATATTTTTTAAACAATTCTATGGATCATTTATTGTCAAATCATCTTTTTTTATAAGATTTTTTTCTTGAAAACTAGCAGCGTTCACAACTTGTTAAAAAGATATTTTGTTTTTATTAGATAACTCATCTACTTCAACTGAACCATCTAAAACTATCTGTGGCATTAATGGCACAATGGTAGAAATTGAGTTGTTTGTCGACTGTCCCGTGTTTAAGAAACTACTGCTCCACAGAAGCCAAATTTAATAACAATTAAACAAATTATTATTTCTAGCGAACCAGTATTTTGATTTAGCTTCGTTACCATTCCGTATTTTCTAAATGGAAAATGATTTTTACTGAATTTTTTGTACTGCAGAGTTCGTTTTTTAAATGAATTTCATATGAGAGCCTCGAGAAGTTAATAAATGATTTTAAAGGAAGTTAATCGATCGAAGGAATTTGCGAATCACGAGTTAGAAATCTAACCTTTCATCATTTCGATTGATTGTGTCTGCCTATAAACATGTCTGTTCTCTCTGCAACTTTTTGGAAGACAAGTGTGAAAACAATACCGAGTTGCAATTCAGGATTTCAGTCTCTTTAAAGACATTTATTTAATTACAAGCGGTTGAGCGAATTACAAGCGGTCGAGGTCAAGAGGTCAAGAAGTAGGACACAACAGTACTGGAAAATGAATTATGATAACCCTTAAGTTTTTTTCTTTTTTATTCAACAATAAAAATTATTAAATTGTGCGGACTGATAATAATGAAGCATAATGCTGTGCATTCAGCTCCAGTTTGTAGGAAGGACCAAGAGTTTATTGACGAAATCTACTTCTCCTGACCTTCTCTACTTATCCTTTATATTTGTACTTTTTTTCCGAAACACACTGTGTAATCTTATGCAAATGAAATTTAGTTCCAGAGGTTTGGCACCATCCTCTATATTCCCGAAATTCTCTGAAAACTATTTCATAAAATATAATAATTTTATGTGCCTATATGCAATTAAAGAATTGTGAAATGAGTTTTAGCCACTTGAGTTTTCCAATCATTTGTCCTCATCATCGAGTTTTGATGCATATACAAATATAACAAAACGCTTAGTATACGTTACTCATTTGTCTAAACACCATGTTTTGTAGAAAATGGTGGATTTTATAATTGCAAATTATACTTTCAAATTATAATATGACTTTCACACAATAATTCATAAAAATAAATAAACGTTTTACTCTTGCGCTTTTATTAAATTTTCTCCCTTTCATGACGTACAAAAGTTTTGTGAAGTACATCGTAGTTCTACGCGTGTTTCACTTCCGTTGATTTTCACTCTTCTCATCATCTCACTGGCGCAAAATCTCAAATGAATAAATTTACGAATTGAATCTAATGACATTGTAGATTTATGTTAATATCGTCGAGCTAAAAAACGGAAATAACCGTCTTCTTCTTTATCGGCATTTTCCCTTCAGACGTTTGCCGTTTTCGATCTTCATAGGTCTCGGTTATCTTAATATCTGGGTCTTGGCTTTTGTTCTCCATGGATTCTTTAATGTATTATTTCCATTCCCGTGTTGGCCTTCCTCTTGATAGTTGTCATTCTAATATTATTTTCCGTCTTCCTTCAGGCATCCGTTGGACGTGATAATTTTGTCCTCTGGACGAATTCAAATAACATTTAAAATCCAATTCTTCCGAGGTAGAAATAAATTCAATTAAATACCTAAGACATTTGCCAGATCACTTAGGTGCTCGTCATTAGAATATTTGAAATGAACTTTAAGTAAACTACGAATATCGATGCAATTCCAAAGGAAATCGAAGGTAATGTCCCAATAAGCGAATAAAGTATCTGAATGCAGAAGAGTGACTATTTTCTACCATGGTTATGGACGAATCTGGTCACGAAGAAAATACTAAAAACGCAAAATGGCGTACAAACGGAAAACAAAGAAAATGAAATATTTTCCAGTTTCGTTGATGAAATTCATTAAACATCCCCTCTAATAATAGATAGTAGAAAATATTTTTACGGCTCAGGATAGTAAAAGAAAATAAAATTAGGCAAATAATTGATGAAACTTCTATAATCACATACAACTGAAAATATTTATATAGCTGAGGATTTTGGAAGAAAACAAAATTAGAAATAAATAGAAAACAGTTCATTTCAACGCAATAAATAAACCAGATAAGCAATGACGAGTCGTTTTCAGCTATCAAGACGTTCTGTAATATTTTTGCCCAACGGAACCGGAAACCTTCTATGGAACAACCGGCAAACTTCGTTAAAACTGGAAGAAAAATTTCTTTACGTCTATCCCAACATCTTCCGAGTGAGGCGAAGTTTAACCCCCACATGCGTTTAGCACAATTTCCGCCTCGTTGCATTAGAGGACAACAGACGTCTAGCTACGTTGAGCTCCTTAAAGATGCCAAGCTGGTAGTCACAGACTGCCACATCCAGTCTGTCAGCCAATATGTCCGTTTTGGGGCACGGCAGAGAATTTCACTAATTGTCGGAAATTATCACATGAATTATGTTATACGTTATGTCCAGAGCATGAAAAATCATGAGAATGGATAATACCTAAAGCTAACAAACAGCATTAGAAAAAGCAGCATCCACGCGACATTATTGGCTTGTAACATCTCCTCGACCGCAAATAATATCCCTTTAAAAATATGGAGAAAGGGAATTAGAAGTTGGTAAAAGTACTGATAGTACCTACTCATACCACTCGCCGCAAAAATCCACGTGAGCACAGACCTTTGGCGATGTATTTGATGAACCCTTAGTATTTCGGTACCCTAGCCATTCGAAAGCTCTTTAACGAAGATTCGGTTATCAAGCCCTTCCTCAGGACTGACATGCTCCAAAAGGTTCATCACCTGCCTACATGTCCTGTTTTGCAGGTGGTGGTGAAACGGGGAAGAAAGTCCTCAAAAATACCCATCGACGCTGTGTAGTCCAGAAAGCCAAGAGTCGTATGTGCTCCGCATGGGCTACTCCTTACAATCACTCATTCTACGAGAAGGTTTGCTCCCCTAGTTAGGCACCTCATCTTTCGCCTTTATTCGCACCCCCGCCGGCGCACAAGTACAGCTAGCGTACAAGGTACTGGTATCTGGATCCCAGCAGAATGTAATTACACTTCCCGTGAATCTTCTCAATAAATTCTGGGTCGGGCCACTCTACCAGCTCAGAGCTTTCCATGCCAGCACCTGAGTCAAATTAAGCGTCAGTCACAATGCGCCGGGACAAGTCACTCCTCTTTGCCCAGAGTGTCACGCCACTACCACGACGAAGCAAAGTGCCGAACATGAGGCCGCCCGGACTAAGGACAAGTGGCTCGGACCCCCCATCGCGTCTCCTCATTGCCTCTACCATAAGCTAACGACGTGAGTGCCGCCGAGAGACGCGGGACCGAGTTTCAGAAGTCGGGTCCGAGAGCAATCAGCTTGCCTATGCATAGCGCAGGCTATTACTCCTCCGCCGGAAGACGAAGCTGTTCCCTCGGCGAGGCGAGCCTACCCCGCCGACTTCTGCGCAGTCTGGCGCCCGTATTTCGCGGTCGGCGAATCGTTCGAAAAGCCCCAATTCTGCAAACCAGAGACACGATCGTTCAAACAGCGCAGACGAGATGAAATCTTCTTTGGAGTACAGATTTTTTCTTTATGTCATTCGTTCATAAAAGTTCTGCTGCCCATGAATTTTTAAGCAGTATCGATCGAATAATTAGTCGTGGGCTATAATCATCTAAATCACCTGACAGAGCCCCGTGTTCCCGTTTTTTACTGCGAGGATAATAGCTTTATTAGGAGTTCGCAGAAAACTCTCATTTCACGGAAGAGCTCTGGCACACTCTTAGGGAGAAAATCGCCATAATAACGCGTGATTTGCTTCAAAATGTGTACAAAAAAATACATTCCGGAAATGACAAGAGTCAGTGACGAACTCAAGGAGGGAACTAATTGGCACCCTTTTTGAGCATATTTTCTCGGATAGATTAAGCGCGATGGAAATTTGGAGCTCCTGCGCATCCTCCTGCCGAATCCAATGATACGTATTAAAAAAACATAGCTTTTACTAACGTTCAATACTACCAAAAATCAAAAAATATTCAATTGTTAACATCGTAGGTATTAACAATGAGTCAGTAAATAAAATTATATTTTATATTCAGTATGAATAAAATGATATAAGAAAACATCCAAGTGGGCTGGCCACTTTACCTGTAGCTTCCCCAGAGAAAAATCCTTGATGCGTCGCTGCCAAGAACGTATTCTCGAGCCAATTGGCACCCTTCGGGCATCTTTTCTAGGATAGGTTAAACGCGGCGGAAGTGGCACGCATCTCATTACGGTTAGATTGAAGCCTCGCTCAAAAATTGACGCTTTTTCGGCAACTGCTACTTTGCTATTGTTGCACTTTGCTATTGTTGCGCGCACCGCTATTTCGACCTAACATTCCCACCACCACCACCACCACTATCACCCACACTAGTCCCCCCCCCCGCCACACACTCACGCGACGGCACGACCATCATTCTAATATTCGTGACGAGGTAGGTTCAGGGCTTCCGCATGCCAAACGTGTCCTCAGTCTCGTCCCATCGGGTCCACGTCCCACCCTGCCCTTCCCTCTCCTCACAGTTCTCCCCCAACCCCTGGAGACCGGGTTCTCGCGGGAGAGGGATCGTTATGCATTAAGACTCCGACGCTGCTGGGTCTGCGTTCGATGTTTCAGTAGCCACGGTACAGTTGGCACGAGTAACGGAAGACGTCTTTCATTGGCAGTTCGAAATCCAGATACGAATTCACAACTTGTTCCTTTAAGACACCTGCTGAATCATGATATCCTGTTTGTGATTCGGAGCCAACTGTGCAAACTTCCTTGTGATACTTTGGTTGAGTCTCGAGCCTACATTTAGGTGTTCATAGGTATGTATTCATACATATGCACTGACAAATGTATTTATTCACAAACAACTATAATACGTAGAACAAACCGTATTTCTCTGGAATTGATTAATATTTTAATACCCAATTTTACATCCAGCAAAATAGATGTTGGAAATATCTCTGAATTGCTTAATTTGAAGTCGTAATGGGGTCCGATAATAGTCAGATTGACACATGAAAGATTATAAGACGAATGCGTAATGTAAGGAATAATATTGTAGTTTAGATGGTAGAAGTATCTGAAAGTGGTCTACTTTCATTATTTCAATGTGAATGGATTTCACTTCCTGTTGTTTTATACAAACCTGCTGAAAACAGGGAAGACAAATTCTGGTGGGTTTATAGATGATGAGAATTCAAGCACTTAAAAATAGTGAATATTGATTGAAGGTTATGAGATAAGGCAAAAATATTAAATGCGAAATCCTTAAAATAAACCTGAAGGTTTGCGCTTTTCGTTGTAACGCTGTGTGGCAATTTTGACACTTTTTACATCATAACATAAATATCACTGGAATCAAATGTTTCCATTTATTCTATTTTCTGAGTGTGCCCTTGGATATGCAACCATAAACATCTTGCTGATGGGAGAGTTGCCTACATAGCAGGGGCATAGTGTAGTGTATTGAATATTCCCGGACAGTCGAGAGCATTCGGAATCGTATAGTAGAGGCTTTACTCATAGTATTTTTACCTCCTCTCACTTCAAGAATTCACCTCATCACCTATCCCAAAATTATAGTTTTCTTCAGTCTGCAACTCTCTCCGCGAAAAGATACATAAAAGAACAAGTAATTACTGTCACGCTTTGAATGCTTTAGTTCAAATAAAATCAAGGTTGCATTGTTGAAATGTTTTCCATTATTATTTTTTAAGTCTTCTATAAAGATCCCATTAATGCGCAGATGTTACAATGAAGATCACATAAACATTTGCATGAAGACGCAAGTTAAACTTATGCCATGTATTGTTTCTTGAAAGCGGAGGAAATCGAGTTCTTGAATGAAGATCGTTAGGAAAAAGACAAAACGTGTTTGGCATGTATAGGTTTTGATGATTTAATGTGTCTTCTTCGTGACAATAAAGTTCAATATTGATTATTTCCACATTCATCATTCTCATTCTTATCACTTTTCTATGTACTATTTTAATACATTTGATATTTTGTACTCATGAGTTCATTGTAACACTTTTGTACCAATTTCAGCTTCCCCTCTCACGACATTCAATCAAGAACAAAATTTCCTACACATTAACAAAAGAGGTTAAGAGTCCATAACTATTTACGCCTTTTAGAGCAGTCGGAGTTTGTAAACGCTCTTTTTAACATGAACTGTGTAGTCAATTTTGTCATATACAATATTTACATTTCTACATTATAGTTGCGAACCTGATGACATAAATAATATCGATGATAAAACATGAGTATAGTATGTGTGGTTTGTGGTATCGTCACCCACGCACTTCCACCGAAATATTATAGTTCTACATAAATACTTTAAACTTCATAACCATTCTAACTTTAATTGATGAAGCTATGCAGACATGTATAATTTCCATTACGAGTATCGTACACAGGTCTATATTAATGTTGAGGGTAGCACTCCCGCACATTAGACAAAATAATTTTTTGACAATTGTTATTCGTTTTATTTCTTATTATGTCGCATTCCGATTGTTAACGTCTTCGGAGCAGAAAGCAAAACGAAATATCAGAGTCCGCTTGCTAGCCGGACCGTTTATGATTTGATTTCTAATAACACACCACCACTAATGATTCTTATCATTACAAAAAGAGTCTAGAGAATTGTGATTCCAACTCTTGTTCATGAAAGCAGAGTGTAGTATTAAAATGAAAAGACGTAAAAACGATATAAAATAACACAAAAACTTTTTATGTCATTTTTCAAAGTCATTATTCTGGTCAGTACTCGCGTCGAAATTCCGGACTCGTTTTTTAAGGTCGCCTCGCCTGGAAATATCTTAGTCCTACTGCAATGCATGAATTTCCCACGGTGGCAAGTCTTCGACATCAGCTACATAGCCAAGCCGAATTCAACCACTCACTGGAAGAAAATTCTAGCGGTCTCCTGCTCTGCTCTTTTGTGGTTTCCCCAATCAATACTAGAAGGATTCCGGAGCAGTACCTTAGCAAGCGAGACTGCACTTTGTTTTCTTAACCTCGTTCCCTCTTGTCACCTTACATACATGCACATACTTATATGCCACATATGTCAAGAGACCAGTTGGGAACTTAAAGCTTTGGCGCCTTCGCCCTGGACGCGGCGTCACCCGGACAGCCTAGTAAATACTGACCCGGCCGCGGAAGCCTACGCTCCCAGCTTAAAGCTTGTTCTGGCTGGATGATGCCCCGCTTGGGGGAGATATCTGGAGAAGGGAAAACCTGCAAGCTAACAACCCGCAAGCCGACAAACCCACAGCCAACTGTGGATCGGTGCTGGGTCTCACACCAATCAAAACTGACTTTCCTATCTAATATGAATGATGAAAAATATAACGATTTAGTTAATCTTCACTATCTATTTGCCTCAACGGAGCGCCATATCACGTGATAAGGGCTGCTGGGATTCGCGCCCTGACCGCGTGGGGCCCTTGGCCTGTTGCAGCGGCCGCGGCGGCGCCTTTGGACGCGGCCGAGTCGCGCGCGGGGCGGCAGCTGGGCTGGCCCGGCCTGCTGCCCATCGGGCCCTGCTTCTCCAGCAAGGGCGAGTTGGGGCGCTGCACCAGCTTCCGCCAGTGCTACCCGTACTTCAAGCTGCCCGAGCTCAGCAACTGGGAGACCTGGGTGCTGGGCATGTACGACACGTGCAGCTACTTCACAGCGACGGGCCGGCAGGTGAGACTGACTGATTGGGCGTTCAAAATATAAGGAACAAGGGGCGCCGAGGGGCCGAAACCTTAGGGCACGGGGTACCAAACTTTCTTCTACTGGGGGCCGGGTAGGACGTTTCTAAAAGCCGCGACGGCTAAAAATTAAATTTCATGTCACAATGGAATTTATTGCACATTTGTTAAAGTGAATTTTAATTAAAGAACGACAAAACAGATAACAATTCACAAATTAATTCGTGAAACACATATGGATATAAGACCACACAATTCTAGACATATTTGTATTAATTAATGCCCATTGAGAGTTACTATTTGAAATTTTGAAAATGTAATTACATACGTTTCTTTTCTATTACACAAAAATGATAACGGGAGCTCAATGAGAGCAGTGAAATTGAGTTTTAGACTCCAAAAATAACTTAACTTGTGGATAATAAGTTTTTAATGTTTGGATAAAGTCTATTGAGAGTTGTTTGTAGAATTTAATCTAATTTCTTTCCTGAAAAAATGTCAAGCATCGTCAGCTTTTAGGTCAATTATTTCCATTTGTGTAGCTACTGAGACGCGCTCAATATTACATGAAATGGGCACGTATGTCTCTGAAGTTAGCATCCAAGTCAGTGAATCTATTTTTGAACAGCTTTATCAGTTCTGAAAGGATTTCCAAACAAACTAGAAGGAGGTACTGAGAACTATTTTCAGCACTTGAGAACAGGTAAGGTAGTGAGGAAATGATTTGTAGCAATCTCTTTGTCTAGACATAATAATTTCTGCTTAAATAAATTCCGTGGTGGTAGCAGATATCGTGTGGTACTCTATAATGTGAGATAGGAAATAATTGTCCGCAACAATCCCCATATAGTCATCTCGCATTCTGCGTAAATGCCTTAATATGAGTGTTCAGGTTATATATGACGTTATTTTTACTTTATATGACGTTATTTTTTATTAATTTAATTTAGATAAACAGCAATATCTTAAATGAAAGTCAGGTTTCAAACCTGTGTTACTATTAAATTGAATTGGAATACACTTTGGGTTGGAGGACCACATAGAACACCTCAGAGGGCTGGATGTGTCTCGCTGGTCGTAGTTTGGAGACCCTTGCCTTAGAGGATCTCCCCATAGGTCTACGGATTTCAGTTAATTGTACGCAACTAATAAAGTTGTGATAACGTTTGATTCACGCAAACAAATGCAGTGCAATGAAGTTACAAACTTGAGAAAATATTATTTTAAAAGTCACAGTGATGCTGATGAACTTCCAGAAAGAGAAATTTCCATCAGACCGAATATTTAATTCAGTCTCAATAAAAAGATTGCAGGAGAAACCTAGGACTCCCTAAAGCGTCTCAAATGTTGGAATACACCGTAAAAACCTTCTGGCTCTGGCTCGAAATTTCTTTGGTAAAGACAGTATAAGGAAGAGTTTGATCTGGATTTTTGTCAGAAAGAAAATCTTACATTTTGTAAAAACCTCCTAGCTTAGTGACTGCATTCAAAGCTGCAAATACATTTTGAGTGTTTTACTCTTCAAAATCTCCACAAAAAGTATAATTTTATGTTTCATCGCAGCCTGTATCTCAACGCTACATTTCGAAGGATATTTCTATTTTAGTGACTCCATTGACAAGGGCAGAATTTGTTTAGGAAATACGTTTTATAGACTCCTAAAAGTTAGTCATCAACTGTACTGTTGCATTCTGTCACAATCTGTATCTCATTGTAACACTGCTTTACAAAAATTGAAGATGGGAAACGCCGAATACATATTTTGTATACCTGCAAACATACCTAGAAACCAGTACAGCGGTGGCCAGTGAGAATTAGTATGATTGCGCTACAACCAACATACGAGTATTTCGCTAACTATAAGAAATGTTATCTGTATCTGTGAATACGAGTGACAACTATTAGGACGTTTGGTCATATGCTATGGTGGTTTATCAAGATCTGTGAACGGACCAAAGGAGTAGATATTAATTACTGTCTTATTGGGAAGAGTCTGTTCACTAATCTTGTGCCAATTATGTGGATCTCACGTTTAGTCTAATAATGCAGGAAACCTGCCCTTGGCATTTGCGCACACGATCTCTGTTTCTTTCCACTTCCCAAACAAAACGTTCTTCTCTAATCCCGACGTGGCTGTCATTGCGTTCCAGATGTTCGGCGTGTGCTGCACCAACCCCGCAACGCCGCGCCCGCCCCTCCACCCCACGCCGCCCCCCGCCCTGTGGAGCCCCAGAACAGCCCCTGAGGAAGGCAAAACCCGTGGGCCCCGGTCGTGAATCCCATCCCGCCCAACTGGCTCCGCCGCCTCCCCACGCACCCTCCCACAACACCCATCCCTTCGCTGCCACGCACACCTCCCTCCCCGGGGGCCCGGCCTCCCGCCCACCTCCCCGGACACCGCCCCACGGCGCCCACGCCGCCCCACGGCCCCCGACGCCGCCCCAGCGGCCACCTACCCCACGCAGCCGCCCACCAAACCGCCACGCGGCGCCCTGGCCCGCCCGTGCCCACGCACCCGCCGCGGGCCCCGACCACCACCACCCGCCCGCCCTGGCAGCCGCCCCAGTGGCCGCCCACCCACCCCACACCGCTCACCACGCACACCACACGCAGGCCCCCGACGAGCCCAGCAACGTGCTCGCAGACGCCTCTTGCGGCGCGCGCAACGGAGCCATGGAGCAGGAGCGAATCGTCGGAGGGCAGAACGCAGACATCGGCGAGTGGCCGTGGATGGTAAGCCAGCTGGCGCTTCAGCCTCCCTCACTCAGCCTTCCGTCCTGCTTCGCTCTGGCAAAGACTGGGGCGACCCTACCCATAGGCGTGAGCCGCAGATGGGGCGATCACATTTCTGGTCCCCCTTTACCTATTAGATTTTTTATTTTCATATGCCATTTTACTACTAAATACATAAACATACTAAAGTAATAATGAAGATATAACTTCAATGATACAATTATGAAATGCATTTAATAATACGGCTTGGAGAGTCTTTTTCCCAAATGTAGCAAAATAATTCCCCAATTTGTGTTCAAAAAGGCGGAAAATCAGGGATCGAACTTACTTATAGAAATAATACGTTTTTTACATAAGGAAATACCCTTCAAAATTTCACCCCCTCCTACCCTAGGAAAATAGGTAGGCCTATCACCCTACCCATTTACCTACACAAATACAGATATTTGTGAAAATTCATTGTTAAGATCTAAAGTATAAATAAATCTTCAATTTGTACATACTTCTCAATGCATACAAACAAGTTTATCTGATTTATTAAGTTACATTACTTTTGAGTTTCCTAAAAAAATTGTTTTCACTGCCTTTAATTCTTAACTTTGATGATTAAATACAATCAATATCAGCACGGTCCAATAAAACTATCAAATAGATACCAACAGATTCAGTGACATGTGACATGTAATATGAGAATGACATGCAATATGTATTGTAGCGTCAAATAACCAAAAATAGAGTACGACATTATCTTCTTTGCTTCAATGCACTCACTAAGAAAATCATAATCTTGTGTAGGCAGCTCTATTTAATGGAGGAAGACAATTTTGTGGAGGATCTCTCATCGACAACATTCACATTCTCACAGCAGCACACTGTGTGGCGCAGTAAGTAAACAACATATATGGGTGATGTTGAATAATTAGCTAGAATCTAGTGCCATGAAGATGAAATTATCACAATTTTGCTTCAATGTTTCAGCATGAGTTCATGGGACGTGGCCCGGCTTACAGTACATTTAGGAGACCATAACATCAAGACAAATTACGAAGTTCGGCATATTGTGAAAAAAGTAAAACGAGTAGTTAGACATCGTGGCTTTGATTCTCGAACTTTGGTAATTACAATGACCATGTCTTTTAATTATATTTTTAATTTGAAACATTTTTAATTAATTTCATCAATTACCTTCTCAGTACAATGATGTTGCTGTTCTCACTCTCGACTCTCCAGTAACATTTACACAACAAGTACGACCTGTTTGTCTTCCAAGTGGAAATGCTCTCTATGCAGGACAAACAGCTACAGTCATTGGATGGGGAAGTCTTCGTGAAAGTAAGAATAAAAATTATTCTCCTTACTTGTTAAATGCGATCCAATATTATACAGGTCTGTAATGAAAATACATTATTGAAAGTTTCAATTGTATTCATTTTTTGTTATATATTTTTGGTGCTGAAATCAAAAATGAAAATAGAAATGTTCCTTCACAAATAGTTTTTTCACAAATTCACAACAATGTTTCTCCGTCACTGACAATTCTATGCAATTTTATTATCTATCTGGATTCAAGATTTTGTGCATGCTCCTCAGACAACTGAGTGGATGTTCTAAATTTTCATGTTTCCTGAGTCAAATGAAATGACAACACTAGGAACAATAACAATGACCCCCCCCCCAAAAAAACTACTTTTGAATTTGAATAAAGAATATTTTGCAAGGTCTTTTTTATGCAACAAAATGTGTGTACCACCTCCACATATAAACTTTTGACTTATGAAAGTTTACTAAAGCTCTTCTAAAAACTAGGAGATGGCCGGTGTATCTGTGAGAAGATTCCATACCTATCAGAGGGTAAAATTGTTGGCCCAGTTATAAAAAGACAGATATTAGATGAAGAATTTGGCACCAGTGTTGAAAACAGAACTTAGATTTCCATTGTGGTTAACAACTTCTCAGGAAAAAAGAAATATCCTGATTACATAAATCTTGTTAAAGTTGTGTCAAAGAACTTCAGAGGTTTAGGATGTTTCATGAGCCTGAAGATTCACTTTCCACAAGTATATTTAGATTTTCCATGAATGATTTTGTGTAATGAGAGAGGAGCATGGAGAAAGTTTGTACAAAAATATACTGTATGGATCAGAATTTCGTTTATATCAGAGACTACTGTTAAATAATACCCCATAGGGTTGAAACTCCATGGAAGCAGAGAGAGCACATGCTTGAGAGGTCGGGTTGGAAGAAGGTGCTAAACTGGACTAGTACTTATGTTTTCTCAAAATTGTAAACTATATGAGCAACACGAAAAATAAGGAATATAATGTATAAGCATGAGTTGTGTGTTGCATAAGATTTCTTTTATTTAACAAGTCCTCATTAAACTCAATTATGAAAAGTTTGCTTCACAACAAATGAAACTCTGCATGAAAAGCTATGATATGTAATGGAACAAAACTGAACCCAAATTGAGGAATCAGCACCCTCAATACATTATATATTTGGAATAAATCTTTTAGAAATGATGATTATTATGATCTTTAAATTTGCAGGCCTGTGTAACCATATATTAAAACTTAATAAAGTTTGCCTAGTGTTTATAAGAATACTAGTGATTACATCCTGAATCTTAAATCAAAGGTCTCGCTAATTAATTTATGAAAGAAGTCCATACAGCTCTCCTTAAAACAAAAATAAAATGTTATTTTTACTTCATAGGTGGACGCCAACCAGAAATTTTGCAAGAAGTAAGTATTCCAATATGGACAAATAGTGAATGCAGAGCCAAATATGGAAGTGCAGCTCCTGGAGGAATTGTAGAGCATTTCTTGTGTGCTGGCTATGATGGCAAAGATTCCTGCAGTGTAAGTTAATGAAGTTTTACTTGTTTTAAATAATTGTAACAGAAATTAAAAAATTGACAAATGTATTTTTTTTTCATAGGGAGACAGTGGTGGACCGCTCATGATAAACAATGGGAGATGGACTCAAGTAGGCATTGTAAGTTGGGGCATTGGCTGTGGAAAGGGGCAATATCCTGGAGTTTACACACGAGTAACACATTTTATGCCATGGATTACAAAGAATTTGAAGTAAAATTCTCAGTTTTGTTATTATATTTCTGGGGAAGGAGAAAGTTCCCATGCCCGCTTAAGATCATAAAAAATTTCAACATCAGGCAAAACGCCCTATTAAAAATGTAAGACACGAGGCCCTCTTTACTTACATAAATTTTCCTCACAATAAGGCTTTGTTCAAAATAATGCATCATTGGCAAAGCTTGAGGATGAAAGAAAGAAGAACCAAAATGTGGAAAAATGTGTACAGCAATTCTTTTAATGTAAACAAGCTTTCATAACAAAATGCTGATCTTTCGAAAAGCAAGTTCTTTACAGAGTCATGGGTAATCTAATACAAGAAATTTAGCTTCACATACCAGGCTCTAACTGCATTGGAACAGTGCAACACAAAGAAATCCTCTGAGTGAAATAGTATTTTGAACTAAATGAAAATCTGTCTACAATAACATAGTGTCACAAATTTTATGAATAAAGGTATAAGATTTTTTAAAAGAAAGCAAATGAAATTTTGTATGCTAGTCAAACAATAAAATCTGCTACCAATCCAAGTTACTACTATGATAACACTCAAATATTTCAAATATTGTGCCATGTTTTCTTTGTACTTGTTGACAATTTCTGTGAAATAAGAATTTCAATATTTCATAAAGTGACATAATGTAGACTTGAAAATGCAGACAAATCCATTAAATGAGGTACTATCAACAGAAGATTCAAATTAATTAAAATATGACTTTGCTTATAAAACAAGTTCTGTACCTCACTCTAGGTTATTTGGGGAATTTAAAAATAAACTTAACTTATTGTGAGTAAGTGTTTTGTTTTGCAACCTTAATCCATCCACATCCTGGGTCCAAACTGGATCATTCAGCTACTCATTTATTCTTCCTCTCTCAAGACTATCAGAAATAGAAAAAAGTAATCCAAAATTTCAATACTTGTAATCAAAACCTTTAAACTCAACATACATTTTAAATGCTTATTAAGATTTTTCATTTCCCATCACAAAAGATCATTCTGGTTTCAAGCTAATAAAATAATGTTTCACATGGACAATTGAAATATAACAAAACAGAAATAATTTTCACTTCAAACCACAATAAAATAATACATCCTGATCCATGTATAAAGTACACCATGAAAGATACAAAATATTTTCATGACATGAAACTCAAGGCTGTCTCGCACTGGTTTGCCCCCCCCCCTATTACTGTAAAACAAATAACTAAATGCCTCTCGCCTGTCCAATGTAAGAAAAACTATAAAAGATTTGGACACCTACAGGCAAACTGCGTTCCCCCAGATGTGCGAAATGTAACCATAATCACCATTACTTCTTTAGCAAGAAATCCTCAAATACTCTTCTGATTTGTATTTATTGCAATCAAAATCATACTGCTAATTATAAAGGATGTCCTTACTGCAAACAAGTTCTTAATAAAAAATTATAAATTTGATAACACTGAAACTACTCCAAGTCACTGCATAATCCTACAAATAATAATGCACTAACCAGTTAACTAACCAATATACTTATAATAAATCTGACTCTCCCAATCTTCCATCACCTCCTAATTCATGGATAAACCACACAAGCCTCAAAATCTTAACACTACTATTCTATTCTTCTCCAGATATCACCCAAATAAATACTACAATAGTTTCTCAAGTTATCTCCAATCTTATTCCATAAATTCAACAAATTATTAAATCCCTTATTCACAATCAAAATGTCTTAACACTTATCTAATCTATACTAAACTGGAACGCCAATGGCATTTAAAGGCAACTTCAAATATTTCAATACTTTCTCCATATTCTCAATAGACTGTAACAGTACGATCTGCCGCGAATTCAACATCATGTGTTTATCTATAAAATCGCGGGCAACCCGCGTGGCCAGTGGCCGTTGGAAAGGAGGAACCTGATCCCGCGCCTTCCATCCCTGCTATATTGAGACGAGGGTCGTTTATGGCCTGCCGCCGGTACGACGCGCCGCTGTCGCTCTGTCGGCAACCGCGCCCCCGCCGAGCACTCTAGACAGGTGACTCTTCCCCCCACGCAACCGCATGTCAAGAGGGCCGACTGCAATCACACCCACTTGAAAGACAGATTTACGACCCAGACACTTCGACACGCACGTGCAGCACCTGCGATCTTCGTCACAACATTTTTTGCCGACCGCGGAGGGACTGCCCGCGGCGCTAAACGACGGAAAAATTTCGGTTGTTACGAGGCATCGCGTCATTGATCGAAGCTCCGCCTCGCCACGCTCCGCCAAATTCAATTTCAGTCAATCAGGAGGAGTTTCATTGGAGAAAGGGAGGGAAAGAGCTTTCATGATGACCGGAGAGAAGCTCCCAAAACATTCACCTAAGAAATTTCGCGGAGGGAGGTTGAGCTCCCAAAACATTCACTTTAGAGATTTTAAAAGGGAGTCTCAGCTCCAACATTCATTTAAGATTTTTCGCGAAGTGAGGTTGAGCCCAGAATTCACTTCGAGAAGGGAGGGTCAGCTCCAACAATTAACTTACGAGATTTTGCGAAAAGAGACACAGTTTCCGGCAATGGGAATTATTCTCGCTGGCCGTGAGCTACACTAGCACGGCAATGCCAGTCATCGGTGCGCAGTAGCACTCTGTCACGTGCCATCCTGCCCTACGATAGTGGACCGTCCGCGATCGCTTGATTCGGAAGTTGGATGATTTCCAATTAGTCATCCCCGACGCGAGTCGTGGGTGCCTGACGGTCGGGGCTGCCATCCATGGGTCCGGCCTGAGCAAAAGGGTCGAGCGCGGCCGCTGTATTGGCTGCAGCTGTCCGGGCAACCCGCCCCTGCCCGTCGGTCAACAAACAGCATGTCATGTAAAATCATCTATCTTTCATGCTCATTATCTTAGATATTAAATGTTTTATTTGTTAAAGTTAAATGAGTGTATTATTGAAAACCACATCCCCGCTTCCAAAAGCCACGAGACGGTTGGGATACAACACAAAAAGCATGCGATTCAGAAACTCAACTTATTCTTAATGAAACATTTTTTCTGAACAAGTAAAAATATATAGGTATGATAGACTTCATAGCGCCCCACTTGAATTACTGACCATTATAATATATATTAATCAAACACAATATTACATAATAGTTTGGAAAGTAGCCATTATACTTCCATTTGTATACCCCAGAAATATCGACCAATCAGTTCCCTTACTAAAAATTTTGAAACTCGCTTTTGACAACTTTGTAACGTCTAATAAAATTATTTCCCCCTACACAATTTGGATTTACACACAAACATGCAACAACTCATCAACTTTTAAGAACAACAGAAGTTGAACATTTTTTCCATGTAAAAAAACAAATTTTTGCAATTCTCTTAGATATTGAAAAAGCATTTGACAAAGTTTGGCATAATTGTCTCATTTATAAACTACATCAAATTGGAACTCCAACATACCTATTTAAGATACTCCAAAATTTTCTAAGTAATTGTAAATTCTGTCTTACAATTAATCACACGTTTTCACACATATTATCAATATCTGCCAGTGTGCCTCAAGGATCCTGTCTTTCTCCCTTCATCAAAATCATTGAGTTTATTGCTTATCTGAGAAGCAAAATTGTTACTAATCTGTTTTGGGTCAGTAATTTCTATATCTATAACTTTTAGGTGAATAATATTGTTTACTATTACAACCCAGTTCATAGTGAAGAAATTTGCAATGTAGTTTTATTCTTATTTTTGGAGTTTAAAATTTTAATGTTACACTAGTAATACTAATTTTTGCTTCTTGATACAAGCTGTTTGAGTCTCTTTCCATTATGATGATACACTTTATCAAGAAAATTATATTTATGATTAATCAATTAAATAGAGCTTGGAGTTCCTTACCATTGTCTATAATAGTATTAGTTATCCATGGTTCGTATTTTCATTAGGAATATTTATCATAGATCGAGTATGCATGGAGTTTGAACAATTCTTGCAGCCTAATTCATTAATGATCAGCTATTGCTGATCCAAAGTACTTGAATAATGTCTGCACAAGTATTTTAGAAAAACCCAAACTCTTCGAAGGAGCAACTTCCTTCCTAATGACTTCAATGAAGTATTGCTAGGAAATAATTTAAAGCAAAGCTTGTAGAATGCAAGAAAACTTTAGCACTGTGAATCGAATTGCCAAGTGAATAAATTGATACCAAGAATTCAGTCTCAATCATTAATTATGAACAATTTTTACAATCTCTATAGTTATTCATTAAAGTTAAAATAGTATTCTGAATATTTCTTACTAGATTCTCCTCAGAAACAGTTATTTCTACAGAAATATGTTTCCACATTTTAAAAGTTGTATGGTAAGATTTGGAAATAATATTACCTCTGGATTACCACAGAACATTATAAATGACAGTTCCAGGTAATTTTTTTAAATCATTTATTTACAAGTTTTTCACAAAAAATTACAAATAAAATGTTTAACAATGTTTTGAAGCATATAAAAGTGTAGGACTCAAATATATTCAGGACAACTGGATCATTATCTAGCACAAGACTGTTATTTTTCCACTTACAATTGTTGTATTCATGAAAATAAGAGAAGACATTACATAGAACTTGTTTCATTAAGAACAGAAAATTTATTTAATTTCAATAAAAATTTGGCAGATTCTAATTTAACAAATCAAAAAAAAACAACTTAACATTTATCAATGAAATAAAGGATTAAAAGCAATGGATGCAGGTAAAAAAATTAAAAAAATTAAAAGAAGTACAATGTTCCCTCAGAGCAAACAATATTTAACAAGTCAGTCATAAAAATGTAAACAATTACGGTTTAATCTAAAATCTACTATCACAGCGTATTTGTCACACAAACATTCAGGTTTTCATCCACTCTTCGACTTAAAAAATAGATCCGTTTCTGTAACTTTTGAATCTCATGCAGAACATTTTTATTTTCTTTATTGAAATTATTCTACACAATGCTTTGAAATAACATTCTAAATCAGTTTTATTTTCCTTTATGCTAAGACAATTTTTAAAAACTTCCATCTCAGGAGAGGAGGCATGACATTTAATACAATATATTACTGGTTCAGGCTCTGTACAAATATAGAAATGTAAAATCTGAATTGCCAACAATATACAGATAACTTTTTAAAAACATTTTGATGAAATGTTTATTGAAAAATAAACCTTTTTTGTTCCTGTGTATTTATAGTTCTCAGTATGCCTTCAGTGAATATCATTTTACAAGAATTCACTTTCATGATTTCAAAACAAGAGCAAATCTTGTAAACAACTAATACCTACTTCCTTAACTTCACAATCACTAAGATTTTAGGGATTTGACACATTTGAAACATTTAACTGCAGCAATTTATTACGAGCTAAAAATAAAATAAAAATTATTAGAAAGAACTATTCATGAAATCTTAAGCACAGAATTACACATATATTAAATGGAATGAGGGAGCAGATTACCTTCAAAATAATAAGTGTCAGCATAGTCATCAGGTTGTGGAATAAACGGTACATTCATGCTGTCCATATCATCCCAATTGACATTTGAGAAAAGTGGCATAGCTCGGACCCCATTTGCAGATGGTCGTAAATTGGGGTCTAATGTCAAAAGGTTATCAATTGCATTTTGGGCTGCTTCAGACAGTTCTTCTTCACCCACAGGCCACTCAATATCTACATATTTAGTTTAAAATAAGACAATGAATCATACGTAAGTTTTTGACATCAAAAAGAAAGAGAAATACAATACAGTATGAGAGAAATTTTCATGAATTTCTGAATTAAACTCAAGTCTAACTCCAAACTGCTTACAATACCCCACCCAAAATTTTGAAAAATTAGAAATATGGAAGTCCAATATTCTTACCTCTTTTCAGTATATTATTGAAAACAGCCTGAGGTGTTTGATCATTAAAAGGTGGAATGCCTGTCATGAATTCATATAGGCAGACGCCTAAAGCCCACCAATCAACAGCAAATCCTAAAGTAAAATTAAATAATATCAAAGATTAATAAATAGAAAATAAATATCACTATGTGACATAGAAAATTAAATATTGGTGCTAAGGCGGAACCCAACGTTAAAAACATTGATTTTCGGGAGATGCTATCCAAAGTTTGCAGGTGCACGATATGAAGATTTTATTTACAATAACATGGCAAATCCATTTCAGTGTTTCCCAACACCCACTTCCCTTCTGGCAGGACATTTCATAATTTCACCAGATAACAAAAAAATCAATAATCAAATAACAATGAATCAACTTTTTGACATATCATTTCCTGCCTGTGTCATAGATATCATTTCCTTAAAATCAAGATATTCAAATATTTTCCTTCCCATATCATTTGGCTAGTTCCACGAATTTATAGACATATACAATATCTCTCATACCATGGCCATGTTGTAAAAGTAACTCAGGTGCTAAATAATCAGGGGTTCCCAGAATTCTCTGGTCACTAGAAATCTTCCCTCTTCGAACAGATTTAGGAGTTCTGAATGGAGTCTGAGATGCTGAAGGAATTGGGCTCACATTTATTACCTAAAAAATGACACATCAATGAAATGGTGAACAAAAAGCATAGTGCTTCTCAAAAACTATGTGCTACTAACCTCTGGTGGTGACAAGAGTATCTTTTCATGATGTAAAATATCACCTGAAGGCAAATCAAATCTCGTTATTTTAGCTTTTTTATTTTTGGAAGTGGATGACACTGGTGTAGAAAATGCTATTTCATCACGAGTTCCATAGCACCTATACTCATCAATATCATAGTTCATTCTTGATTTTAAAACACTTTTCAAGGGACTTCTTTTCAGATCTTCAACACTTTCAGGAGTCTTACAGCCTTGAGGAGTATCATTAGAGAGGGCAATTCCTACAAACTCCTGGGTGAGATTCGTGTGTTCTGAAAGTTCTAGCTGAAGACTTCGTTTTCTTTTAAAGCCACGAGACAAAGGTCTCTTAAAATTAGATCTGCTAAGAGGAGATGAAAAATCAAGACCTCCAACACCAGATTCACACATATTCTCCTTAGCACTTGCCAGATCATGTTGATCACTATGAATACTGGTATTGCAAGAATGAAAAGAACTACTAGATTCAGATTTCTCTTCTTGATCAAATGCACTATTCAGATGCCCAGAATTTGGCTCTGTGGTAGAAAGAAATGGTAATATCCCGGACAAACCAGTATCATTACTCGCATTACTTGAAACAGAACTATTAGAAATGTAATGTAAGGTTTGTGATCGGAAAAATGCTGTTCTTTCAGATATTTTTGAACTTCCAAAGCTTTTCCCACTGATGCAACTCAAATCTGAAATTATAAGAATTAATTACATATGAATTGGATTTCCACAAATTTTTATTAATAGAAATTGAAATAGGAAACTCTCAATTCCAAAAGGACTCACTTGTCTGATCTTGTAATACACATGTATTAAAAGCAGAATTTACAGTTGATCTTGGTGTGCTGTGTGGTTCATCAGAATATATTGTAAAACCTTTTTGACTAGACCCCTAAGAGAAATTTGAATTTAAATTTATTTTTAAAGAACCAGAAATAAACAACAAATGAAAGCAAGTATTCTCATTATGATCTACTTACAAAGGAGAGATGAGATGTCAGTGAAAGCAACTGACCTGGAGTACGACTAAATTCATTAGCAACACCAACATTTGGGGTATTATTAACAAAATCAGAAATCTCTAGATCTGAAACAAATTAAAAATCTAACAGTTGTAGTATAACAATGAAAAGTAAAATCTCCCTCTAGAAAAGTCTAAAAATAAAATACCTCTGTGCACTGGTACCCGACTTAATCCAAAATCGGTGAGTTTTATATGACCACATTTTGAAATTAACATGTTATCAGGTTTAATATCACGATGTACAATTCCATGTTTATGAAGGTACTCAAGAGCTAAAGTCACTTCAGCAGCATAGAAGACAGCCATTGGTTCATCAAAGAATCCATACATACTAAGTAATGTTTTCAAATCTCCACCAACCATATACTCCATTACCTAATTAAAACACGTACTTCAAGTTAACTATATTAAATTTTTCAGAATTAAAATGATATTAAAATGATAAAAAAATAACATACCAGAAACACATGAGATACTGTCTGCAAAGAATAGAAAAGTTGAACACAAAATGGACTCCTTGCAAGTGCTAAAGCATTTCTTTCTGACACAACTGCAAAACGATAATCAACAAATACATTAAAAATGAGTATATCCAAATAAAATATAAAAACCATGACAAAGTAAATAAAAAGAAATTCAAAACTGTCACAATCAACATAGAAAATGTAATATGATATTTTCAAGATAATAAAAAGTTTTTTACTATGGTAGAAGTCTTATCTGAAATTCAAAATCCTTAACAGTTTGTGAAGAATTCACAATCTGACAAAAATCTCTAAATGCTCTCATTCTGTGCAACTACTCATTCAATAATGCTTGAAAAACAAATCTGAAGTTTCATTGAAAGAAAGAAAGAAAAAATACATACTTTGTGAAGCCATATTCTTATTCACCATCTCATTTTTGCTCATTACTTTAATTGCATATACTAGTTCAGGATTATTCTTCTTGCATCCCAAAAACACTTTTCTACAAAAACAAAACAAATCAAAGCAAAAAAAAATACACGTCTTTCAGAACACTGACTACAGTCTAACATATCCCAACATCAATCATCCACACTCATTATCTCTAAATCATTATTTTTCTAATTAGGTACCCTATACTACATGTATTCATTTTCTTTTGTAATACTGAATACTGAGAATAATCCTCGATATGAATGACAGTGATGAAATATTAACAAGATCTTTGTCTTCTGTGAAATTATCAGACTTCAATTATTTTTGACAAAGTCTGCACTAAAAACTTAAGAACTGTGAATGTTTATTATTAGCAGAAAACGCTATTCACCACAGCATTTTTACGTACACTTACGTCATTTTTATGTTTATTGAATTATTATGTTTATCATTTATTATCAAATAACCAAACAATACCTGGTCCTAATTAGTTTGGATAATCAATGTTGCACTGTTTATTAAATCAAATCTAGAATGCCATCAGAGGTGTTCTTTGATTATTAATTTAATTTGCTCAGAAAAATTTATTGGACTCTCTTGGTTGGATGAGTTCTCCAGAATCTTTTTTTTTTTTTCTTCTTCACATGAAATAAAACTAATGGGCAGGATCCACCACTATATGCTCTGAGTAAAACCTCAATATGTTGGCCGAAACATAAGCCTACACAACAGAGATTCTGCTCAACCTGGATAGCCTAGATATTACTCGGGCAACTTTTCTTGAACGATGGATTGACGATTTTGCGTGGAGTGGGGATAATTAGTTAACAAAGTTCGGCCAACAAGAGATATTTAAGTAATGCCAGCGTTCTGTAAATGAAAGTCAACGGATTTGTGCTTACTTTTCGGGAGTTTTACGTGACTCTCCTGAATTGACCTGCGACCTGACCCAATTGACAATAAACCTGAACAGGGGTTCTGCACTATGAAAGCAATTGGCTTTGACTAGCTTCTGTTTCACGCCAATGAAGTTTAAATGCTTGGAAGGTTATCATCAGTGCCCTCTGCGAGCTTTTGCCTTCAACTGTTTATTGCCCAAGGGAGGGGGATCAAGGACATCGTTCAAGAAAAGTTGCGTGAGTAGTAATACAAACTACAGCCATAGAAGCCTATACAATCAACCAGAACAGTGATTTGAAGGCAATCACCAGAGGCAAAATAATTGTTTGAGAAAAAATTAAAACAATAACATCCACTAACAGACTTCAGTCTTTTAAACCCCAATTTCAAAAACCTTCAACTGCCATTTCACTTATCTTCATTTAAGAAATTATATTGTGTGTAAAACAATATTTTGCCAGTGACAATTTAAAATATAAATTTAACACTAGTTTTCATTTGTACAGTATAAGCGTATTACTAGCCATTGGTCATAACTAAGACTCTTTCAAAGAGCATAAACATCACATACACATTCGCAGTTTTATTTTAGAATACCTGAATACTTACAAAACATTCCAACACAACATATTTTCAAAACTGATCTTGAGCACTACTTCTTTACAAAATTGTTCAACAGTGTCTGAAGTTTCTTAGTGACTAATAGTAACTATCTGTTCCCAGGCATCATTTACAGGAGGAAATATAACACCATCACATTTTTAATTGTAATTACAACTATTATCTGTATCATTTGCAATTTTTTTTTATTGACATGATTACTTTGTTAATATGTTGACAACCACAACACTGGTATTAATATGTTTAACATTCCCAACATTCTTGTTCTATCATTATTAACTTATAGCATGTCATGTACACAAAATTTTACAACTCAATTTTTTTATGAAATTTATAACTTAATAGCACTCAACACATTTCACCGATGATTAACTCTTATGTTACTGCTTTCCTACAGCATTAGACATTATTAGATTTCTGAACCATAAACATCATTTCAACTTCGAATATTTGTGAAAACCGAAAAACACGTACCCAAAGGCGCCTCGGCTAATAGGTTTAATTAGATCAAAATCCTGTATTTCAGGAGCCTGGAAATAATCGATCCAATAAAATAATATGAAACAACAAAACATTGGACAGTGATTTAAATATGATTTCTAAAAGATTACCTTCTTCGTTTCTTCTGAAGGATCCAATACATTTTTAATTACAATATTTTCCGTGCCAATGCCCTCAACAATCCGTTGAAAATTCTCAAGAGATACATCACACATCTTGGACAATATCAACCTATTTTCACTAAAAAATGAACGGTTATCTCATACTCCCACTCAAAGTTCATTGAGCACATTCAAATAACAACACAAACAGCTAACTTGTCATAGCTTGTTCTCAGATACGTCCGATTATAACATTCTCTGCTTGAAATCCAGTTGTGCATTGGTCAATGGGACTTCACCTATTCAACGAGAAAGCAATCCTTTAAGTTACCAACCTCAGCACCATTCAGCACAAAACGATGCCTTCGACCGCACCATGCAAAGAGTATATATCATGCACCATGTTGCATTCCCGTTGTGGTAAAAATGCGTGTCCACTGCGCGAACTTCAATTTTCCGTTCGCTCGTTCGAGATCGGTTGGCGGAAGCGAGCGAATGTTCGCTCAGTATGTTGAATTGAATTGAATTGAATATGCCTTATTTATGTTATTTAATTATATGTTCGTTCCGTGTAAACGAATATAGATGCCGAGCGAACACATTCCCTCGGATCTCAGAGGTTTGGGACGCGGTCGAACATTTTTATTTCTACCTGCGAACACGTTGGCGAATGGCGCTAATTTCAATACTTTTGTGAGCATAAAATCGAATTGTGCAGTTTGTAGTTTGCGTAGAAAAAGTATGAAACTTTTAAATGGTAAATTTAAGGCAGGAAAATATTAGATACAGTACAAAATACACAAATTTGCGTATTTTAATTATGTTTTTAAAATGTGTTACAATATTACATGTTAATATTGTGACCCCAGAGACAATTCACTTTTATGAAAACGCACTTTAATAATATTGATAAAGCTGTGGCTTGAGTAATGAAGTCTTTTATATTCGTTTTTGTTGAGAATATGTAAATTTTATTGTTTTAATTGCTTTAACTGTCAGACATTTGTGATCAATACAATAGTTTTTTACGTAAATTAACAAGTTTTGTTAAATGTTAATTCACATTTTTTGGTGAAATTGTGACCTTTTTGCAGACTTAAAAAGCAATAAGGGGCATTCAAGAAATCTGTAGTTCTTTCCGTTCTTGTAAGAACTTGTTCATAAAGAACGATAATTTAAAACCATTAAATTCAATAAAAATAATGATATTTTTACATTCTTCAATTCATGATCCATTTCTCAGAAAGAAAATCCAATATATTGGTCAGGGAGCTTTGTTTTGTAAGAAATCGCGCAAAAAGAATTAGCTCCAAATTTCGCCGCTCATCTATTCTTTTTACTCTGCAAAGTAAATTCAGTTGTTTGTTCATACTGCAAGGTCACTACAGATACAGAATAACCACACTTGGGCGGGTTGCCGCTGCAAGCGAACAATATGGCCGGCAGAACAAACGTTCGGAGGGCGAGCTCGCTCAGTGTAAACGGGTAGAAACTTCTCCGCCGCGATCGCCCGCCGAACGAACATGCCTTGGTTCAGAACCGCTTGTTCGCTCGCTCGCGCACGGCAAACGCATCTTAAGAAGGAAAAATTAAGTTATCAAGAACACGTGACATTCAGAGCTGCTGAAGGGCAGCATTATCGCCTTTAGTGGCAAGTGTCTGAAGTTTGAAGCCGCTTAATGGTTGAAATACAGTATACGTGTCGATTTTCTTTTAGTGCGTTGTAATCTTTGAGTAAGTTTTAATAAGTGAGAAGTTCATTTTTTCTCTAAAAGTAAGATTGTATTTCTATGATTCAATTAAGGAGATGTGGGAAAGAAAGGAGGTAATATATATATATATATATATATATATATATATATAAAATTAAAGCGCGACAAAGACGACAAAAGTAACTTTGAAGTGAAAAACGTTAAATTATTATAATTTGATGCGTCAAGTAAGCATTTATTAAAGGCTCACCCCTATTCGTAAATTGCTGACGAAGCGACTAAATATTTTCTTGATATTCTCATAGGCAAACGAATGCAGATTTTTCCATATTGTTTCAATAATATGAACAACCCAATTAAAAATATTTTACCTGAATGAGTTAGACAAACCTAGCTTCATTACTTGTATATGCCAATAATAATTTATGGGCGTTCAAGACATTCTTTGTGTAAAAGCTAAGCCCGAATATTTAGTATCTCACCTTAATTGCTTATATCTGAGAGCGTAGGCTTCCGCGGCCGGAGTCAGTATTTACTAGGCTGTCCGGGTGACGCCGCGTCCATGGCGAAGGTGCCGACGTTTCGATCGCCATTCTGCGGCCTTCCTCAGGGCGTAATGCATTACGAATTGGAATGTATGTTACGTAATGGATTACGAATGGCGATCGAAACGTCGGCACCTTCGCCATGGACGCGGCGTCACCCGGACAGCCTAGTAAATGCTTATATCTGGCTCCAGAATTGTGCCGCAACAAATAACCTTAAACAAAGCAAAAATATTTGAAAAATAACTAGTGGCGCTACAGAATTACACAGACTTTCCCGTGTTATTTTTCTATTTTCTTTGGTCTCGGCTAGCTATTCCAATTTACTGAAGCCATACTTTTGCCTGCTACCATCTATCGCCACCCAAAGAACATTTTTTTGAAATTTTCTTAATTTTTCGGTTTCCTAATAGCTGAACGAAAATAGTATTTTCAGAATATTAAAGAACAGTGAAACCTCGTCCTGAATGGCAATTTTCTTTGAAAAATTCGGAGCGATTTTTAAGAAAATGGCGATTAAGCGCTGCAGTAAATTCGAATTTGAAACACTTTTTTCAAGAAAATTATTGAGTTTTCGAAAAACTTCATTTGAAGTCATTTTAAGAACCTTTACTCACAAATATGTGCAATTTTTGAAAAAATACCCCGAAATGAACTTCACATTTTAAAAAGTGCAATTAGCACTATCCTTTCGAAAAGTTTAAGAAAAAAATTGGAGCGGTTTTTGAGAAAATGGCGTTGAAGCATTTCTGAAATTACAAAATTTTGAAATATGTATGGCAGAAAACATTTGAGTTTTTGAGAAGCTTTCTATGACATTATTTAAAGCGGATGTACTCATAAATATAATCATGTGAACAAATTGCCACCAGTGTAAATATTAACGACGCGAGAGACTAGTAAAAAATATATTTTTGTAGTTCTTGAAAAAACAAAAGAATATAGAGCATTATGGGGTTTATGTCATCTCAAAGAGTGCATTTAGCACATTCCCTACTAAAAGTTTAAAGAAAAAAATTTGGTGCTTTTTGAGATTAACGACATGAGAGATAAGTCAAAAAATTTCGTTTTTGTAATTTTTGAAAAAACAAAATAATAGAGCATTACGCCGATGATGTCATCTCACAGAGTACATTTCACACTATCCCTACCAAAAGGTCAAAGAAAAATTTGGAGCAATTTTGAAGTTGGGAGAAAAATTTTTAAAATCGCCGCGCCTAGAATCGACCCAGATCGACTTGAGAATATCCATTTTAGAAAAAAATCTACAATGGTTTAGGCGTTAGTGGTGTTTACAGTCGACAGACGGACGGACGCAGGGGTACATTTATCTGTACTACGTATTTTACGATCCGTATATACGCACGTATACGAGAAAGTAACAAGATAGTCTCGAAAACGGTTCCAAATTTTGTCTTTAACCTTTTTGTGCGGATAGTGCTAAATGTACTCTGTGGGATGACATAAACATAATTTTGCTCAATTTTTCTTTAAAAAAAAAAAAACTTTATTGTCTCTCACGTCATCTTCATTATTTTTATTTTAAATTCTATAAGTACGTCGGAAGTTACCCCTTTAATTTTTTAAACAACTTCCCCTCTTAATAGGGACAAGGAAAAATACGGAAGAGGGTGGAATTTACGCTAGTCTTCATCAATATTCTTAAAGTAATATTTCGGTTCTACCATTAGGAAACGGGATACTTCAAAAATTTTCAAAAAAATGTTCATTGGGTGGCGATAGATGCCAGCTAGCAAGAGGATGGGGCAAGACCGAAAAGCTAGCCCAGACCAAAGAAATTAGAAAACTAATGCAAGAATGTCTGTGCCATTTGTGGCACAACTAATTATAGTTTTTAAACATTTTTTCTAAAAAACGGCAGCCCATTAGTTACGTGACATTTTGATCTCGGATAGCGTAAAAGACGCTACAAGTCTCATTTTCGTTGAAATCCCTGATTTTTTTTCGAAAATTGCAAAAATTCAAAATGTTTTTGGCATCTACCTTCTACTACATGTATGAAGATATATTTTTTCTTAATGAAATACATTCATCAAAAACAGACCTTTAAATTTGATCATGTTCAATTTTTGAAAATATTAATGTTTTGGAGTAATTTTGTGTCAAAACAGGCAATTTAAAAAAAATCAGAAACGTCTCCAACCTCTCCAAAGATAGTGGTGCTCGTCCCAATTTGAGCCCTCTTTGTATTTTCGAAAATTGCAACAAAAATAAAGGGATTTGTAAATTCGAATTTTGTACGCTCCGTTTGATGCGTTGTCGTTTCGCAAAATGACAATACTGTGATTTCAAAATTCTTCGAATTCATCCCTTTGTCGTTGGCCGTTATTATTATATGATGACAATATTTTTGTGAAAGGAAATAGATCTAAGGAAAAATATTATGATAATGATTCTCTTTTTTCATTTTGAACATCTCCACAAATTCTTCATTCACTAATATTGATTGCGAGGTTACATTCGTCCATTCTTTTTCACAATATCGTGTTCTTGAAGATTTAAATCTGTCTCTTTACTGAAACAAATTTTGTTCTAACGCACGAAATTAAGGACAAAAAATTAAAAGGGTAATTCAAGGCTTGCAGTGTCACTTTCAAACTTCCGCGCTCATCTCGTTCCCGTCTGTCTTTCTCTGATCATGCGGATTTGGTGGAAGTCGATTTATGAACGAGGGTAGGTTTAGTGATATGACCAAAGAGTATTATAAACCAAATTGAGATTAAAGAAAAAAATATTTATTTGGAAATCGAGCTAAGATTGTATTAGAAAACAGGAAGTCTTATAGCCATGATTCATTTTTAACCCGAAATGATCAGACTTAATGACGTTAAGGAGTAATGAGTGAACGGTTCTTTGTAGAACTTTTATCATAGACTCTCGCCCTAGTGGGGAAGCATTGACAAACAACACTTGAGTGCTCTGTGTGGGGAAGTGGTTAGTGGTTTCCCGGGGATGCCCATGGGTGTAAGTTGATTAAAAACTAATGAACACGTGATTTTATATAAAAATGGTATTTTATTTTATCAGTGATGGTAAGTGAAAATTAATTCATGTGCTTGTTGGGGTATTAAATGTTTAATGTTTACTTGTTTTATGCGTCGTGTAGTTAACCTTACAATTAGCCCAATTCTTAACCAATTGTAATGTTTTCCAGTTGTATCTCCACCTGTTACGCTTTTCATGGGGATAGACAAGTACGAAAGTAAGTTCCAAATTAGTTGCTTGATCTTTAAGACATTACTCAACGCATGACACTTGCCATTTTAAATTATCAAAGACTATTGTTCTCTGACAAAATTAGAGAATGCCAAACATTACTTTTTTACAGTTTGGGTATGTATTACTTGGGGTTATTGGTTGTTAGGACTATCTGATACATACTTAAAAAATTTTGACTTGCTCAGTTATCAGTATTTCAAAGGGAAATGAAGCTCGGTAATAGACCTTGAGAAAGTTAAGTTTTGCCAATATTGATGTGGGGGTCAACAATATTTTTTCTCTGTACATTGGCATGTATATTAGGGTTATGTTACTTTGTATTAAATGTTGGTACTACATTTCATTTGCATTTTTAGAATGCTGTTAACATGTTCACAAAGATTATAAAGAAATGTACTGATTCTGGCATAAATAGATTTTTATTTCTTTTAGAAACAGCATTCGCTTTCTTAACAAATATATATTAACCGCAACTCATTCAAATTCTCTCAATGATCGTTTAAGATGGTAGTACTTTTATTCGAGGTACAGAGTAAGTACACCACATGCTGTCAGTGTATGTAACAGTGGGTAATTCTTTCTTTTGTTCTCATAATTGTATTTTCTTACATTGTAAGCACATTTTCTTAAACGTTCATTCCATTTGCATGTTTGAGTAACACTTTCATGTAAGATATGGTGTATGATCAAGTGTAGATTATGTACCAGCTAATTTGGTTCAACTTTTTCACCTCTGCTGATTGTAGCTCATTGAATCTATAAATTTATATTGCTAATGACAAAAGGATCTATCTGCATTTTTTAATCTTTCTTTTAAACATTTTGTAAATGAAATGATCTTTTTAAAATATTTTCTTTTGATATTTTCTCATAAAATTGTGAATTAATGTGTAGTATGAGGGAATTGAAACACAGCAATGTGCATAATAAAAATGTCTTTTCTAAATTTTTGTGTCATCATAAAATTTGATCCAGTGTTTCTTCAAAATGTTTTAGATGAAGACCTTATTAAGTGGGGTTGGCCAGAAGATGTGTGGTTTCATGTTGACAAAGTGTCATCAGCCCATGTATACCTTCGATTACGTCAAGTATGTAGTATCTCTGCCTATTACATAGAAAGTGTTTTGTCAGAACATGTGGAGCAAATAAAACAGGTCTTTGCCTTAGGGACAAACAATTGATGACATTCCTTCTGCTGTGCTTGAAGATGCTGCTCAGTTGGTCAAAGCAAATAGTATTACAGGAAACAAGATGAACGATGTTGATGTAGTATACACAATGTGGGCCAACTTGAAAAAGACAGATGGAATGGAAGTTGGTCAAGTGGGTTTCCATAAGGATAGAGAGGTTTGTGGAAGATCAGTCTTTTTTTTCTTTTCCTCTCTCTCTCGCTAGCAATATTTGTCAGCAAATAAGGTGCAAGAAAGTTCAATGGCAAAATTTAAAGAAAGGATTCTCTCTTCACAGAGAAAGTCCATTACATTACGAATCTGAAAAGGTTTAATATATTTATCTGAACCTCTATTTCTCTGAATTGTCCTTACTGTAATGTTACTGCAAATGGTGATTGCTAGATGAAAATGTGAGAAAATTGCAAAAAGATAGAGTAGTTACACAAGTTTCACAAGTAACATTTGATGATGTCCTGAATACCTCTCAGGAATTACAAACAATTTTTCAGTTTGAAGACTTAAGCCATAACCAATAAGTTGTTCATCTTCTGTATTTTTGAGCTTACTATGATAAGATTTGTGAACTTTAAGTCCTCTTTGTTGACACTTAGTCTAGTGAATGCAACTTGCTGTTAGATCAAACGTTAGCGCAGACATTGTGGTAGACGGTATGCACTACATCAAACCTTTTTGATTGTGTTCAGCACTCTATTCAAAAGTGAGCAGAGATGATCTCCAACCTAATTACTAGCTTATCACTTAGAACATTCATATATATGCATAGAGCAAAATACTAGCAATGTTATATCTGTAATTAGGCTTTAGACTTCCACACTTGTATTGTAATGCTTTTTCTCTTTTTTCCCTCTCTGAAGAATCCATTCCTGAAAATTTGCTGTGGAGTTTTTTAACTTTGAATACATGTATGTAATGGAAATATAAGTTAATATGTTGTAGGTTCGGAAGATAAGAGTTGCTAAACGAAGTAATGAAATTGTAAATCGCTTAAATAAGACAAAACGTGAAGAACATCCCGACTTTCGATTGGAGAAAGAACAACGTGACAGGAAAGAGCGTGAAGATAAGAAGCGAGTATTGAGGGAACAAAAAGAGAAAGAAAAAGAAGAAGAAAGGAGAAAGAAAGAGGAAGCAGAGTTAAGGTAAACAAAAAAGAGTGAAATTAATATATAATTTTTTAAGTAATTGACAACATTTATGAGAATCTAATTTATGTTTTTGGGCATTCACAGAAGTTACAGCACTTTGATGAGAACAGAAAACATGACAGCTAATACCAATAGAGATGGCAATGATTCTGATGACTTCATGTAATTTCAAATATCACTGCAAGAATAAATGTTTTGGTTCCTATGTTTCATTGAAAGTAATTATTCTTTGCTAATGGAGCAGTTTTATTTATTGAAATAAAAAAAACAACAAAAATACAACAGTGACTGGAAAATGTATAAATGTGTATTTGTTAAAACTAAATAACATTCATGGAATGCCAGTTAAATGCTTTTAAATGTCTTTTGTTTATAGTGAATCCTTATTTATCCAAACATAGGTTGCTGAATACCAGTGATAAAGAATTTTGTTAATTTCAGAAAATGACATGGACAGCATTAAAGATTCATTTGATGATAGGGAAATAAATTGGTTGGCAGATCCTAAAGTTCATTTCAACCTTTTTTGGAAAGAAATCAAGTAAACTATCCTTAGTAGTTTAAAAAGTATGAAGGAAGCTTACCAATAGCACAATTTGTATTTCCAGGATTTTGGGTTCATCACAGAACTGAAGAATTCATAAAACAATCCATATACTGGCAACTATGATAAATAGGTTAATGGATCTCTTTTGATTCTTGTTTTTAAGAAGAGGGCTTTATTGCCTGAAAGTGATCTTTAGCTTATTCATTCTAATAGTTTAGGCCAGGGTTCAACAAAATTTAGTGTTGGGGGGACAAACTAATAATTCAATTAACTTCAAACAGAAACAATTTAATATTACCCTTTTTTCATTTCAAAATAAAATGTACCAATAAGATTTTACAGTAAAATTATCAATTGCTTTGGAAGGGAACAACTCTTTATTACTTTTTTTTTTTTAAATTACGCACAGACAGAGAGAGAGAGAGAGAGACACACACAGAGTAATATAAAGAAGATATTTCCAAAATATGAGAAACACCTTTCACAGCAATGAAGGGACCAGAATATTAATTTTTCAGTTATTAAAATTTGGCACTACCAGAAGCATTCTTAATATATATCAGAATGCATTATAACAAAATCTAAAGTCAGAGAACTACACTGTACCCCATATACATCTAATGACGTGCTCAGTTTCTTTCATCCCCCTCTGCCATATTTTCCAGTATCACCATCCTCCACACTTTTCCTTCTAGTCTGGAAGCTGAATAAAACCTGGCCTCAGATCAATCCTACAGGCCATGGTTTGGTCCATTTCCATTTAGGTCCATTCCAGGTTCCATCCATGGTCCATTTAGGGCCAGGGTCTTCAAAATTTTACACTTTTAGGAACCCTTCAAGCTCACGATTTTCTTGAACCTCATGTTTAAGATAGCAGGTCAACAAGTTTATCAAAGCTTTTTTCCTTCTGAAATTCATAAAATTATTCTTTTACCTTCATTTAATTGTAATACAAATATCTTAATAAGGGAATGAATAGTGAGGTAGTGTATGGGTTGTTTACTTTTTAGAATACATTTTATGAATAATTAACGAAAGGAACAATCAAGGAATAAATTAATAAAAAATGTACATTCAATTCATATTAATATTGTAATTATTACTTTAATATTATATTAATGTAATATTTTAATATGACAGTCCACTACATTGTTCCAATATGAAAGATTCCTTGTACATGATTTTCAGTAGGTATGTTTTGGCTGAGCAAGTGATCACTTGTGGAACCCCTGTCAATATTCAGGGAACTCTGAGGTTCCATGGAACCCAGGTTGAAGACCCCCTAATTCAGGGTATTGTAATCGCTCACAGCATTCCAAGGTAAGCTATTAATTAAATAGGGCAAAACATAACATAAAATGTTTCACGAGATGAAGATTGTAAACTAAACAATTTAATAGTAATAATCATGAACTGATCAAAATTAGTCTTTACAGCCTGTTTCTATTGGTTTATTACGGCATTCTTGGTAGAATACCAATAGAAACCTTGGTATTGGTTTTCCAAGTATTTCTGCTGTTGCCACCTCTTGAGTGGGTCTGATCCCACGTGGTTTGCACTTCTAGGGAGGGTGGGTAAGGGAAGTGGTACTTATGTCAATCGATAGGGAGATACCAAAGTATCTATTTTTGAAGTGTGTAAATCACGTTATGCATTACGTGAATAATATTGTGTTCCTGTTTCTTATACCCAACGATGTCTAGGAGGTCATCTTTTCTGTTATGTGTATGGCAAGTTAACGTCTAAGACTTAAAGTCATCTCATTTCTCTGTCAAAATGGAAAATGAGAGTATTGTTCATGTTGCTCCCGCTGTTTAAAAGGCTGGTTGCGTAGAATCCACCTGTCATTTGCCATACAACAGTCATGGAGGGAACCTAGAGACCACATTACAAATTGCTACTTTTGTTTAACGATAGTAATAGGAACGTTCGCATTCTGCTCCTATCCCAGTGATTGGACAATGAAAGCTGAAACAGACAATGCCAGTGACAAATGATATCACGAAGATAATGTAGTTCTTGATTACACACCATCTGCAGCACGGCTACAAACGCAGTCATTGTCGCAGGCAGAATCTATCTTTTAAGAGATCTAAAGGCAAGCAGAATTTACTTGGGTCTCATCTTGAAGAAAAGAATCTGTTACACCCAAAACATTAGTATTACATTCCAAAAAAAGACAGCTTCATCTTTCCTTTTTCCAATGAGAGTTTGGAATAATGTAATGACATAAACAAGCTGCTTACAAAATGTGGAATGATCATAATTGGGAAGAATGACACATTTATAAGATTCCTCAATGCCCTTCTCTTACACAACTGAAACGTGAAGCCTTCAATATCAGTGGCCCTTTCCATTCAACCAAAGGAAACCTATAAGAACATGAGGCTATTTCTGAAATATAGTGGCTATTTGAATAAAAAATGGAAAATCTGTGGTGATATCAAAGTTCTGGGACTTCTAGGAATGCAGATTGGTTTCACAAAATGTTGCTGCTTCGTGTCACTGGGGAGAGTATGGGAAGGCGAGCATGGAATTTGAATGAAAACAATGTGTTGCATGAAATTCTTGTTGACAAGGGCACTGTGCTGTTACCACCATTCCCTCTGAAATTGGGCATTATGAAGAATTTTGTGAAATTAATAGACTAAGAAGCTCAGGGTTTTCAATTTTTACTACCTAAATTTCCTGCAATTACTACTGGAAAAATTCAAGAAGGAATTTTCATAGGGCCTAAGAGACGTGAATTGACGAAAGTTATTACCTTTCAACAATTGCTGACAGGTACTGAGGAGGCAGCATAGCTTTGCATCGAATGATGTACTGTTTGCGACAATGTCTTGGGAAACGTAATATCTGAGAATTACAAAGAACTGATGGAATACATGCTGGACTTATAGAACTAAGGGGTGAAACATAAAATATTTGAAATTACATTTCCTCCTTCTCGTTTGGGTTTCTTCCCACCTATTCTTTGAGATGTGAGTGATGACCATGATGAGCGATTTCAACAAGATGTCGCTGCCGTGGAAAGTCGATATAAGGGAAGATGTCACCAAACCTTCTGGCAGATTTATTGGTAGACACTCAAAGATGTATAACCACCAACCAACAAAAGGAAAGTTTCTAGGAAACGTTTGTAACTTGTTTCAAGCTTTATTTAGTTTTCTAGTACTATTTCCATTTCATGTTTTGTAATACAAACCATTATTTATACAAATAATTTAATCCAAACAAATTGTTACCTCAATAACATTACAGGAGGAATCTAGTGTATTAATCAAAATTATTTGTTTCCAAATTTCTCAAAAGCGGTATATGTGGCTTATCTTTCCCTGAAAAATTGGCATGTGATGGAACATTTCTGATTTCATTTTCGCAATCAGTGTATGTGATTTTCTAAAGAATAGTACTGTCATCTCGCAGCCAGACACAAAGTACAAATTTGTTGTACTGTGTAATAAATCTTAAGGAGCAAAGGATTCAACTTGAAACCGTAGTCCAAAGTAATTAATATTAAATTGGCAGGTGCGCGAATATTAACACTCATTTTTGAAAATGTCTCTCTTTACATCCAGAAGTCTACTTTATTTCTTTTTTTTACATGCATGCACAAACACATACACAATTATTCATAATGTATAAAACAGCACACACTAAAACCGTATTAAGAGAACTTTTGATTCAGAGGTGTGGTAATTATGGAAATCTTAATACTCACTGGATAAAAATTAGAATGTATAACTGCACTGTCCATTGTTATAAATACCTACTTCATTAGAGGAATAATACCTTTTTTGTCCTATAGAGTAATATAAGGAACAAAGGTAAAGGCATCTCATGGATTTATTCCCTTTGTGGTGGTTCTTCCAAATTTGTCTCACAACTCTAAACTAACAATTTTTCTATAAACAGCTAGAGAAAAGAAACCCTATTATTTTTCTCTTAGTATTACAGTAAAACCTGTTTAAGGCAGAAACCTGCCTTCAATGGAACAAACCTCAAAACGAACCATATTCCAAAGCAAAGTATTCTAGATAAGCCAAAAACCTACCAATGTGGAAACGGAAAGGAATTTTTAGTACGTCTGTATTCAAAATTCTCGATAAGACGGAAAACAATTATTTTAAAATTAAACCTTGAGTTGTAAGAGTGGCGACACAGGTCCAAGACTCGCTCAAAGCTGTGCTCATCCATGCTCTGTGTCATCTACGCTTGTCCAAACCTCTTATTTCTCACGCTACTTGAGAGAAAGCCACTATTCATTTGTAATAGCACTGACCGTCACAGGCCAGCGTGAAGGAAGAAGATGCAGAGTGATCCTTCTGCAGTTCTTGTAATGCATGCTTTGGATTCAGTGGTTCTAAATGTTTACAGTTATTCCCTTCAGCAAGTTGGAGGTATTGTGTTAAGGGTCTATGTCAGGCGGCGTATTGAATAAGTTAACTGTTGATAAGAAAATTAGACTAATTGAACAAATAATGCAACACTGTCAATGGTTTTGATAAAGAAATTTAAACTTGGGAAAAATCAAGTGTATGACACCTTAAAAACAAAATCAGGAATGAGTGATCAAAAGAAATGTTTTTTTGGTGGTTGCCACAATATTCTTGGGGACCTAGACGAATAGCCAAAGACTAAATCATCAAATGCATTCATCTGTTCCTACAAATATTGCAGAAAATAATATTTTTTACTTTTTATGGAGTTCTTTATTTCATTAAACTTCTTGTTGTGTTCCTGCACGTCATTTTCTTTGTCTCTCCCAGGAAATACTTGTATCCTTGAAATGTAGATTTTGGGCGAGATAAACTTCTCATACAACCTATTCCATTTTTGAACACTTGTTTCCTAAATTGACTGTTTTCATAGCAAACCTGAATAAGATGGAAACTTATACAAGATGGAAGAAAATGTTGGACCCAGAAGATTCCAGCTTATAGGTTTTACAGTGATTGGAAAATGTCACCCTGCAGTAACAGAGTTTGAAATTTCAAAATCCATCATTATGATGATCAGTTTGAGACTGCAACCTACCTGATGAGCTTGTGCAAACAAAATTTCACATATGTTATGGCTGTAGGTTTCTTAATTTTTACTGGTTGTTAGTACAAACTGAAAGGATATTGTCTTCCCCAGACCTTTCCACGCTATGAGCAAAACGTCACAAATTGGGGTGGGGTAGTTCTAAGAATTCAGTCTGTGATTCACAGAGATGTTAAATACTTCTTTAGTTTGCAAATATTATTTTTTGTCGTTTTCCCCAGAATCAAATACCAGAAATTTTGAAATTTCTATTATTAAACAAAAATGCTAAAAACTGGGTAAGAATAGCTTTATTGCTAGTCACTATACTGCTAACAAATGCGCCTGGACTATTAATTTTGCACAATCTTGCGTGTTGATCTCGTAAACTGAATGCATGGGCAGATCTAGAGACAAATTTTCAAAGGGGAAATTAAAAATGTTTTGGTCAAATGTGTCATTACACGTGTACATTACAGAGCAAGACAATCCGGAATGCGAAGGGGATAAGAAAGCTGTCAAAAACTACATTTTAATATTGACCTAAGTCATGGTTTATTTAATATTATATTTACATACCTTGCAATACTTTACAAATTTTGTAATGGAAAAATTAGGATAACTTTTAAAAGTCAGGCAAACTTGTTCCAGGAAAAGAGAGGATATTGTTGAAAGTGGGCAATGTAATTTACCTTGTTCTACTACTCACTTGTATAAAAATAAACAATTTACATACATTTCTGATGTCCAGAATTCCATTGTTATCCTTATGGAAACCCTACTCAAAACACACAAAACTATTATCATATCAATTACTATATATTTTCATTGCTTATGAGTAGAGCCCGGAAGTTTGACAAAATGTTTTTTTTATAATTATGATTTTATGACTTAACAACAAGAATCACACTAACTTGAACTTCTGGAGTTGATTCAGCAGATTTTCTTCTGCCTCTCTCTCCCTCACGCTCACGCTCTCTTTCTCTTTTTTTGGCATTTCTTTTTTTGGCATTATGCGTCATTTGTGCCTTTTCTGCTTTTTTTGTTATTTTTCCTTTTTTCCGACTGGCACCAGTCTCTATCAAGTTGGAAACATACCTGCACATGAAGCCATGGTAGTGTATTGTATTTCTGTGGATGTGGGGGCAGCAGGGTTGAGTTAAAAATCTAAAAGGCAGAAGATCAATAACAGAATTTTTTTTCTTCATATTTTTCATAGATGTTTATAGACTCATTCACTCACAAGAATCCTTATCATATGTTTGTGTATGGCCTCAGATCCCTTTAAAGGACAAAGCTGTCTGTACATGATACATACCCTTCCAAGTTCCTTCTTGTCCTTTTCCCTTCTAGCGATTACACAAGTGTAAAGAATGAAATCTACAATTCCGTTTTCACCGCTACCATTTCTAGATTCAAAAGAGTTTACAATAGCATTTTGTAGAAACAGGGCCCTAGCAAAATAAATTCATAGGCATCAACTGGATGGTGCAATCAAAGTTACAAAGAAAAGGTAAAGTTTCCTTCCACATTAGAGCTAATGTAAATTTTTGAGTTAGAATAAAAATGTGAATCATTTAATTATTAATTTCTTACACTAACTGCTTTAAAATGGTGATTATTTTCTTTTTGTGTGTCGTCTTTGCCCCCTACTTTAGCAAGAATAAATGCCTTTTTACCATGCCAATTTTAGGTAAAATAAATGCCTGAACTTCCAGGCTCTAAGACATTGCAAGAAAAGGAAAAAGTTAATTCTGATTGGTTGATATTCACATTCATTGAAAGCTCACAGTACAAATAGTTTTAAAAAAGCTGTTCAAGTTTGGCACTATGGTGTTTGGTTTGATCCACTCATTTGCACAAACATTTTCACATCATTGATGCAGCACTTTTTGTTTCAATTAAAACTTTTATCTCTAAAACCACTATTGTTGCTTTGTGAATTCGAACAAAAATCTCTACGGTTACGCACAATGTAAAAAATTATTTTCATGAATTTATGACGAGTGAAAACATCTCTTTGTGAAACTTAACTAAACACAATAGAGGAACAATACCACTTTCAAATAAATAAAAAATATGGAATAATTATGACTATTAAACTTAAACTGGCATTTTCCCAGTGAATATATAGTGTACTTATCTGTAATAGTCATAAGGCAGAAAATTAGATCAGAAATGAAGTAATGGCAGATAATTCTGTAAAAGACCTTTATCTTCTTCAATCAGATAAAACACTAAAAACAAATGTCATTTTTGTTAGAAAACAAAAACACTGTAGTCCTAAATTCCAATCTTCCATTGCCTTTTTTGGTACTTCCCAAGTGCAAACACAAAATTCTAATTTCATTTTAGTTGAATGTTTACAGCACTTAACGCATCTACAATCCAAGTTGGATAATTTTTTTCAGGATATAATACAGACATAAAGTTCTGAACAAACTCAGGGAACTTTTGAGCTTTAATACTTTCACGGATGGATCTCATTAGCTTCATCTGAAATGATAAGCAAAATGATAGAAATATGACTCGAACACGCATGTGATAAAGTACTTCAAAGTTAAAACACAAACCAACCTGGAATGCTATATTATGCACAGTCAGAAGATGACAGGCTACTGTTTCATGAGTTGCAATTGAGTGCAGATATGCACGTGTGTACCTTTCACAGGTGCTACAAGAACATTCTTCATCAATTGGACGATAGTCCTTATAATAAACCTGTTGCTTTAAATTCAGCTGTCCAGTTGCAATTAATGCACAGCCAAACCTCTGCACAAAAAGTGTTTACCAATTTCAACAAATGATAAATTAAGGAATACCTCCCATTATTCACAAATTAAGAAATATACAAACTGCTGTTCGTGTAGGGAAAACACAATCAAACATGTCAACACCCAAAGCGCAGCACACAACAAGATCACTTGCAAATCCTACTCCCATCAGGTAACGAGGTTTATCTTCAGGTAAAATATCTGTTGATAAATGTACCATTTTCCAAAATTCATCTTTACTTTCACCACCACTGAAAACCAACTGCATTAGTATACATACATTGAAGAAAATAACACATTACTTTTTTAAAGAAAATATACCTCAGTCCTCCTATAGCAAATCCACGAACGTTTCGTTTTGTGAGTTGGCGAGCACTCTCAGCACGTAGTTTAGGATCTAATCCTCCTTGGACTATTGGAAAGATATTCTGAGAGTTTGGATTTTTGTGTGCTGATAAACATCTATCCAACCATCTTGTAGTCCTGTTAGAAATTTCAACAAAATTAAACATTTAACACAAAAGCACAAATTTAGACTTTTGTGGTTTCCGTTTCTTTTTGGCCCTTAATTTATTCAGTTATTTTTCTAATATTGCATGTCTTATAATATTGTTTAGCATTATTGTAGCTGATCCAATACTGATGAATAATTTTCTTTACATAACATGGTATCTGAGCTAAGGCATAATTCATGGGAAAACTTCTTGCAATTCTATTTATCATATTTGTTTGATATTGTTAATGGTTTGGTGAACTTAGCAGTCATTTTCAACCAAAGAAAAAAGTTTTAAAGTAAAGAAGTAAAATTTTAGTTCACAAGGTGAATTGATTTTTCATTGATTGATATGTATATTGAAGTTAAATGATACTCAATATAAAGTATCGCTACTAAAATAACAAGTCACATGACAATTATTCCATTTGCAGAAATTAGAGGAAAAATTAGTGATTCAGTGAAAACAGTTAATCTCTTTAGAAGCTAGTTAGAAAACTAATAAATATTGAATAAGAACAAATTTTTGAAACTGTCATTTTTACTGCTCCCAGTCATTGTAGATATGGCAGTATTGTCAGCCTTCTAATGTTAATGATTTATGACAAAACCAAAATTGGCTTTGTACACTTTACCTGTTCATAGCTTCCTCCACACGAGGACCAACTGTCGTAGTTTTAACAACGTCATCTAACTGCATTATTATATCTGCCCCAATTGCATTCTGAATTTCTATAGAATGTTCTGGAGACAGCATCACTTCGGAAGCTGTGAAAGTTGCAACCTAAGGTCAGGGTTTACACATACTTTACATATTTAGAATGTCTAATTTTCCAAATCTCATGCCAAAGAATAAAAATTCCAAAAGAAATTTGGTACACAATAAGAAAAATTACAATAAAGTAAATTGTTAATAATGATACTGCATTTCTAAGAGATTTATTTCTCATTATACAATGCTGAAACCTGGATGTTTAGGTTTTTAATCTATTTTATTCTTCAACTAATAGCACAATTCTTGTGAAATATAGTTTCCTTTGTTAAATTCCACATCAAATGTGAAAATGCTACAAATTCAAAAACTAGTGACAAGGTCTTAAGAAATTAATTATTTTTCCAAAGCCAAAGGTATATTTTTAAAAGAAAAAAGGGTGAAAGATTGTAGGAAATAAAGAAAGCAACTGTTAATATTCAGAGATCCATATTCCCGCAATTGAAAGGGACATATGTTTTCAGAGAATTTATGAATGTGTGATTCTCAGAGACCACTGTCACTCACTATAAAAGAGACAAAATTAAATCCTTAAAATGGCTAAATCATGGCTCACTAAATCCTAAAATGATATACTACCCAATATTCTTCAGTTACAAGATATTACAAATAACTTTAAATAATTGAGAAAGTAAATGTCATTGGTCAATCTAATAACTATTTTATTAAGACATTTGCTCCTATGCACACAAATGACTAATTAAAAAATTGAACACTATGTGTAAGAGCAGCATTGGTTTCACACAAGAGCTATACTGTGATAACAATATGAACAATTTATACTTTTTAGTAATTTGAAATACCCCTTCAATATTTGTGGGCAAACATGCTGCAATTCCAGGCCTTGATTAGGTGTTCTGTTTCACCCAGAAGGAATACAAGGTACCGTCACATCACCCGGTGACAACAAAATACAGCTACAAAGATAGCCGAGTCTACTGTCAACCTCACTGGCCCTCAAATGGTGCCACTACCAGCGTCATAGCAGTCTGTGTGTTCATGGATTTACCTTCACACAGTTTTTGAAAGTTTGTATTGTCTGTGATGAATTTTCCAAATAAAATTTTAGGCGAGATAAACAACTGCACTTTTGAACAAATTGAACTTTTTTTTACTTAAAAATGTATTCTACTTGTCGCAGAAGTTTCAATCGGATAGATGATGTGCCATGCCTGTGATTAGGTGACTTACATCCATTGAAGTACATTGTATTTGTATAACAACGACCCCATTCAAGGGTTGAAATATCTGTAACAAGTGGAATTCACCTTTAAATAAAAAAGATTTAATGTCTCTATATCTGGCCAACTGTTTCATTCACACAGTTTTTTATTCGTCACTATAATCCTAAATTGCATTCAGTTTTAATCAAATATTCTAATCCAAATCTTTCTTACTTACTTTTATCATAAGGTGACTGAAATTTTACTCCTTCTTCAGTTATTTCTGCTAATTTTAGCAAGGAAACCATTTGAAAACCTCCAGAATCAGTAAGTAAAGCCCTTTTCCAATTCATAAAGTTATGCAGACCGCCTACTTTTTTCATTAGCTCAGGCCCCTAAAAAAAAATTTTAATATTGCAAAACTAATAATAAACAAGTTTGTAACTTCAGCATGAACATTCTCTTACTGGACGTGTGCCCAAATGGTAAGTATTTCCAAGAATAATTTGGCAATCTAGACGTTCTAGTTGTTGGGGCAAAAGACCTTTCAATGTACCCTGAAAAAAGTTTGTCAATTCATTATTAGCTTAAAGTTCATTGCTCACATAATCTCACCGTAAGCTTTCTTAAACAAAAGATACATTGGTATTGTACCATGGCATAGTGTTTACATTTGGTTTTATTTAATAGAACTTTACTGGTGTCATGGTGTAATACAATTTCTTACACCATGGCTGGTGTCCATCAAACAAAAGGTAAATATATGACCTTTAAAATAACTTACTCTACTGAACAAACCTGAGTGCCCACTGGCATAAATACTGGAGTATCAACAGCATGGTGAGGCAAAGTCATAATTCCAGTCCTTGCTTTTGAAACTTTGCACGTGGCTAAGAGTTTAAAGGTTAAAGGAGGGGTCGACATTTCGGAATTACACATTATTTATTCAATGTGTTAAAACTATGAATACTTTAAAATTATTTATAGAACTACTTCAACCCGACTGAAGACAATGGTTAAGTAACAACACACGTGTTGTTTGTGAGTAACGTCTACTCCATTGCCACTAGTATATCAAAAAGTGTAGACGATGAACAACACTATCACAACAATAATATTTTTCAAAGTCTGCCTGAGCCAAAAGCAGAGTGAATTAGAGCACTCGATGCATGCCGACTTCATGCGTGTAATCAAACTTGTGCACTGCCAATATCCCTCTTAATCTAATTCCTTATCAACGTTTTATAACGGGATTACAACTCATTTAAATTATTAAAACCACAAAATTGCATTACAGAATTCCTCTAATTGTGAAAACGTCACTGCATGCATATTCCTACACTGTCAGCCAGCCCGCCCATACTCGTTGCGTTGAGCCCGCCTGACTTGCTTATAAGTTTACAGCTTGTTTCCGAGAGGCGAAGAGCGACAACACCTGGACAGCACTAAAATTATTTAAATTTTGTTTCTTTGTGTACATTTTATTCACAAAATGTACAATCGTTACGCCGCTATTTTGTGTCGGACCAACACTGTTGGTACTTTGCATTGCCTCGGTAAATGTAAAGAAAAAGCAAACATTCTGAGACATGATTGCGAAACTTCTTTTATTTTTTCTCTAACTTCTAACATGTTTGACTCAGTTTAATGTTATGAAATCCAAGATTTCGTATTGTAATTTAAAACACATGAACAAACTAATAATGTTCATAATGTAAGACATAAAATATAGTTCTCTTTGATTTAATTTGCATACCAACTAAAAAATATTCAGTAGTATTGTGCGTTTTACACAGCGTTATAAAATAAAAAACAAGATCGTTTCGTGGTAGGAATAACACTACTAATCCATATTTCGTATGTATCTATGTTTCCTCCATTGTTCGGATTTGATTAAAGATGAATAAATACAATCCGCAAAATATAATGGCAAGAATCTGTAAAATGAAACTTTTAAGGGCAAAGTAAAAGTAAGTTTGCCTAAGTTCAAAGAGACACTTAAGTCACTGTAGAAAATCTATAATACTTTATGCAGAAAATTACCTAAGTTCTCTCGATTTATTTTACTAGAGATATTTAATAGTACTATATTACGCCTGGATGGATTCATCGGCGAGGCTCAATTTTACTTGCTTTCCGCAAGGATGTAGCAAGCAGAAAATAGTTTTCTAACAATTCTTCTAACGAATAAGCGTTTAGGCCAGGTTTATACGTATTGCAAATTGTACATAACGAATACTTGTAGTCAAGCGAATTGTTTTATAGAGAAGCCGATAAAGCGATCATTCATAATCTTGACAAAATGACAGGTGGTGGGCGCGAGAGCGCGGTTTGATCCTCGCTTGTTTTTCAGAAATTTTTAACGGTTTTAAGAAAGGAGGCATCAATTTTGAAACTAGTTTTGAGATAATTAGTGTCTTAAAATGTTTTTGAGAGGCGCTTTGAAGTTTTTAGGAGTAATTAAGCACAGGGCCTCTAAATAGACAATTTTTTTATAACACAAATAATTTTGGATATAACAGTGGTGCATAGTTGCACTATAGTTGCGTTATTATGAAATTCCATTTTGGACAAGCATTGTCACAATTTAGCATTTTAAGACAATAATAATAAATACTATGCTTCCAAGTGTACCACTTGTTGTGACATCTAGTAGGGATAGTTCAAAAGTATCAGGTGAGGTTCTATGGTTCTTTCCACTTGATTGAATTACAGATGTGACACCTTTTTTCCATTAATGATTTATGTGAACTTCAGATGTTGAAGGTGAGAAAGCAAAATGTGAGTCTGTTCCAAAGCCCCATGCTAGCGTTAGCCAAGTTATAACTACAAGTGCCAAAACCAATTGTCCTAGTAAAGGTTCAACTCAGGCTGACAGAACAGAAGAACGGGTATTGTACTGAGTATATTTTGTTAAATACTCTGAAATTATGCTTTTAAATCATTTTCCAAAAGTTCTCTT